TTGTGATTGAAATATTTTTCGAATGTTTATTTGGCGAAATAAAGTGTTGGGGCTAATATCCTACTTTTGGATGGTTAAATGTTGACAATTGGAATATTTTGAGTTTAAAACACTCTTTTTGAAATTTGCCTAAGAGCATGTTGAGTATTTGGTCAAATTGGTAATTGAAACTACCCGTCGAGTCCGATCAACTCGTCGATTGTTTGGATGATAAGGCATAGCCTTCCACCTCTGTGCCTTGCAAACACGTGAGGGCATACTGGTATTTTAGGATAACTAGCTAACCTTGAACTAGATCCCGAATGGGCTAGGTCGAGGGATCGAGATAGCGGGTTCCCTCTTGGGTGATTCCGAGGTGCCCGTCATTCACGATGAAAAGGTCTTTAGACCGTCATCCGTGGTGGAGGGATGGATGGCGTACAATCCCCTCTTGGTATGTTATATTGGAGACTAGAGGGTTGTGGGCCGTATGGCGCCCCTCGCAAACTAATAATAAATTGATTTACTGTGTACTTTGGATTTCGAACCCTTATGTACACATTGTGGAGTTTCCTTTGAGGGTTATGACCCTATGTTTGTTATGTGATATTATGTGATGTGTCATACGAAGTAATAAGGTTGGAAAACCGGGTCGAGCCGGCCCTGATTAAGGCCTAGTGGAGTTTTCTTCGTGATGTGCTCATCGCTATTATTTGAGAATGAAAATGAGGTATAAGGGAGGCGCTAAAAGACTCGTGTGTGTGAGTTCCCCTTATGTGATACGTGTCATTTTATTCAACTATCTTCTTCAAATGATTTTGTGGCATTATATCGTATTAATTTATCTTCGATTAATTGCGCTTACTCAACCGTTGTGTTGACTCTCTTCTTACGATTCTTTTTGTAGGTGATCATGCTTCCGTTATGCCTAAGTGATGCATTCACGTCATATGATCCATCGGGGGAAATGAGAACTACCTTACCTTCTAAAATGTTTTGAAATTCATTGATTGTGTTTAAAGACTAATGCATTTTGAACTATTTCCAATTTATGTTTTTGATTCAAACTTTATTTACTTAATTGATAAGCCAGTGCGCTTTAATTCTAAGTTCCTATTAGTTGTTAGTATTTATTATTTAAGCCTTACCGCCACAACGTAGGACTCATTGGTTGATGAACGAGCCTTCCGGTGTGGCGTGGCGGTGATGCTCCGGTTTGAGCCAGCTGGGGTGTTACACCTGTAAACAACATGGATGACATAATAAAATATATAAATATATTAAGAAAATTGTGGCAATGGAAATTTCATATTAAAATGATAGTTATCTTTCAGCTTGATCTATGGATCTTATTTTAAATACGGATGTAGCAATGTTTAAAACCGAAACACGCATTATGCGTCCATTTCACCCTCTACAACTACAAAATGAAAGGCTAACATATCAAATGTAAACGAAACTAGTGTAGGGAGACTTAGCATCACTCATTCGCCGACCGTTTCTATAACACCCCGGTCGGCTCAAACCGGAGCGTCACCGCCATGCCACATCGTAAGGCTCGTTCATCAACCAACTAGCTCTACGTTGTGGCGCTAAGGCTAAAATAACCATTACAAAATAACTATTTAGAGATTTAGAATTAAAGCGCACCGGTTTATCATTTAAATAAATAATGTTCGAGTCAAAAGCATAAGTTGAAAATAATTCAAAAGGCATTAGTTATTAAACACTAATAATGGATTTCAAAAATATTTTAGAAGATAAAGTAGTTATAGTTCCCCCCGATGGATCATATGACGTGGATGCATCATTTAGGTATAACAGAAACATGATCACCTACAAAAAGGTTGTAAGAAGAGGGTCAACACAACGGTTGAATAAACGCAATTAATCGAAGATAAGTTAATACGGTATAATGCCACAAAATCATTTGAAGAAGATAGCTTGAATAAGACGATACATATCACATAAGGATAACTCACACACACGAGTCTTTTAGCGCCTCCCTTATATCTCCTTTTCATTCTCAAATAAGAGTGATGAACACATCACGAAGAAAACTCCCCTAGGCCTTAATCAGGGCCGGCTCGACCCGGTTTTCCAACCTTATTACTTCGTATGACACGTCACATAGTTTCACATAACAAATATAGGGTCACAACCCTCAAAGGAAACTCCACAATGTGTACATAAAGGGTCGAAATCCAAAGTACATGTAAATCAATTTATTATTAGTTTGCGAGGGGCGCCATACGGCCTACAACCCTCTAGTCTCCAATATAACATACCAAGAGGGGTTTGTACGCAATCCATCCCTCCATTATGGATGACGGTCTAAAGACCTTTTCATCGTGAATGACGGGCACCTCGGAATCACCCAAAAAGGGAACCCACCATCTCGATCCCTCGACCTAGCCCGTTCGGGATCTAGTTCAAGGTTAGCTAGTTATCCTAAAATACCGGTATACCCTCACGTGTTTGCAAGGCACAGAGGTGGAAGACTATGCCTTATCATCCAAACAATCGACGAGTTGATCGGACTCGACGGGTAGTTTCAATCACCAATTTGACCAAATACTCAACATGCTCTTAGGCAAATTTCAAAAGAGTGTTTTAAACTCGAAATATTTCAATTGTCAACATTTAACCATCCAAAAGAAGGATATTAGACCCAACAAGTTCGTTATGATCTCACTTTATTTCGCCAAATAAGCATTCAAAAACTATTTCAATCACAATAGGCATGGTCTAATTCCAAAAATCATAATATTTAAATATAATCGTAAATCTTTTTCCAAAAATCATAACTAGGTTAGGGCAAAACTAGAGTTTCAAACCCATCCCATAAATTCCACGATTTTCAATTTAGAATCCAATAATAATCTTCACATAAACATTATAATCAACTTTCTAGAAGAAATTGGCAAAACCTAACACTTTTAGGGCAAACCCATTTGGTAAGAATATTGAAAAAGATAACAATAGAAGGGTCTAGGGATTAGAACATATCAATCTATCTAAGATTAATCCCACTTACTTTAAGAAAATAGACCAAAAGGAAGAGTTTTGGAGAAAAAGGACTCTAAGGAAGAAGGAGGTTGGCTGGCAGCGTGTGTTCTGCTGTGCTGCCTCTGTTTTTTTTTTTATTATTATTTTATTTTAAACATAAAAGATTTGGATTCATCCTCTCTTTATATATATATAGACACTCTAACCTGGATATGCTATATCTTAACGAACTATGGATATGCTATATCTTATCAGATCTACACTTAGATATGATATATCTTAACAAATTATGGATAAAGATACCTAAATTAAGAGATACGGATAAACAAAATCTAGTTTATTATTTATTTTACCCCAAACTCAATTTTATTCCTAATTTACAGCCAATTCCTTAATTTCTTACACCAAAAGCTCAAAATAAATTAGGCCTAAAATAATATTTTCCGACTCCGGCGTTGAAGTCCGGCAAACTTCTAGCAAGTATTTTTACGGGGTATTACAGTTTCTCCGGTCTCCGGGAGAGCAAAATGCAAGATTTTATACTCCACCAACAGCAATTGAGACTAACCTACTGGTTTTCGGCAGATTTTCATATGAATGACCACAAATAAATGAACAATTGCTTATTTGGATACTTCAGCGGCCAAAGATTGAAAGAATTAAGGTAGAATTGATTCTGTACATGAAAATGAAATTACTATAGAATTACTTTCACAAGAAGATATAGTTAGCAACACAATGTACAAAATATTAAAAACATACAAGAAATTAAAATTCTTAATAATAACCATGGAATTACCATAAGCACAAGATAGGAACAAAATATCTTTCCAGCATGATCATATAATGGGGAAAGATCAGGAAATAATGATGGGGCACCCTTGATGCACAACACAAAATTACTACAACTAGAAAAAGTATTTAAACCATTAACCTAACAACACAACTATAAATATTTACATTGCTTATAAATGGCTGAATGTAACTTTAAGCTGCTTGACGAAAGTTTTCAGTAGTAAGAAAATCAAGTGGAACTCTGATTCATTCAAGTTCACAAAAGAATATTAGGAATAATGCTTGTATCAAATTTTGGGGTTCGGGCAATATGTTATCAAGTTTGCATTTAGGCCTGTAACGAATAAATTGGTTACCGCCACACTCATACATGCAACTATAATATTTACAAACAAACTCCCCGTGCATGCAATACACAAAGAAGGTTCTGCTTTAGACAAGAGAAAAAAACATACCATAACGAAAAAAAGTATCATATAATTATTATGAACTAACTAACAAAAGGCCACATATTCATAAATGGTAGCAGCTCTCCGAAAACTTATTCTGGTATCTACAAATGCAATATGACATCCTGACAAGCCACAGCTGTATACAAGCCAAAAAGAGTGGAACAAACAGCTGTTCTCAAATGATTAAATAAGAAGTAACAACGGAAAAGACAATCAACACTACTAAAAAAACGGTTTTCTACTACGGCCGGAAAATCGTAACAAAAAGCCATTTTTCGTGCAATTTGTGTATTTGCTACGCCTTTGTTACGACTTTTTTCCGTAATGTGTACTCGCGTAACAAATGTTTTTTGCCACGCCATTTTTCGTAACTATTACTGTCAGTCAACGCTCCCTAATGCAGGGTTTTTGTTACGCTGTTTGTTACAAATATCCTCTCGTAACCAAATGTCGATCCTTCCGCGCGTGTGTCAGAGCTTTTAGTTACGATATTTGTTACGAAAGGTCGTTGCGTTACAAAAACGTTCCTGTGATCGCTTGTCATATTTGGTTTTTGTTACGAATATTTGTAACGACACTGAACCCGTAATAAAAAAAATATACTTTCCTATAGTCACGGAACAACCTGAAACAACAAATATCCAATGACCACTTTTTGTCACGGTATTTCATCCTTTTGTTACGCAGAAATATCATGCTATGAAAAATAGGTGTTACTGCAATTAAAAATGTGTGGAACAAAATGACCTGCTGTGATCTCCCCAATACCGAAAGAAATTCCGTATACACATAATGCTATAAACATATCATCATTGGCAATACATGCAAACATTAATTCATAGTAAAATCTGAATCCCAACATTAAGGCCCATGGACACCACAGATTTTACTTGACAATCTCCATACCTAACAACGAAGTAAAGCAACCCATAAAACAAGCCTAGCAAGCACTACACATCAACATCCTGTTCCGCAAAACGGGCTTAACAGTTCAAACACCAAACCTAACAATAAGCAAGTACGGATATCCATCAATCCATAACCACATCTTTCACCACACGAATTAAAACTCCAATGGTCTATGCATCAATTCCACATATCGTTCACACAGCCTCAACACAATCCATCCGAAAACAGGTATGACATACATTCCATAAGACAAACGGGGCAACTAACATGGGTGAATCGGTAGATACGCTTCAGGGGCGGTGCATGAGCTGCAATGGCCAACACAAAGATTAGTTTAAGTCGTATTTCTTATAAATTTTTCAAGACAATACAAGAAAGGTATGAAAGTAGATCCGTACATCCTTGTAGTTCCACTCAATAGGATCTTCACCAACGACATCGCAAAGGGTAGTCGCCCCAGCAATGGTCGGCAAAATAAGGGGTGTGTCCGGGACTGAGGCGGATGTCACGAAGACCTTGACCAGGGAAAGTGTGCCACCTACAATATCCACAAGTGCAATTTTTGAGTATATTGAGCCATAAATATCAACAGACGTTCAAATTATATGTATAACATGCCATAACACAGACATTAGAAGTGTAAAGCTTTGCAACTAGAACAATACGAGTATGTATATTTAGATATGTCGTACAATACATGGTATTATATCCATGAATTAAGTACCAAAGCACATTATATATCCATGAATTACCGGTCTAGGCCCTCAAAGAGGCCCTCTCCCTTTATGGCGGAAGTTTTGAAGATAGCCCATTACCGATTCTTAATTTTGTGCAACTCTAAGGCCTCAATTATCGAAGCATCATCCATTGCTCCAGGAAGATCCTGTAAGTCAGATAATGTTAAGCCATAAGAGAGTACACTTATCTAACTTGTGAGTGGATTAACAAGCAACTTCAACCGAGACACAGAGTTAACAAGTATGCAAATGCATCAAGAAATTTCTGCTTATCGTATGTAAATTAAGTGCAATGTTAATGTTTATATATATATATATATAGCAGAAAGAATGGTATAAAATTCCACCTGCTTGTTAGCAAACAAGAGGGCAACGGCGCCTTTTAGCTCTTCCTCTTGGCATGGGACCAATGTAATTCCATATAAGAAAGAGGAAAGTACAGTCAATCATTAACAAATATCATCAGGAGTTTAAACAAACAGTTTAACTGATGTAGGGAAAATTAAAACAGCTAGAAACAAGAACCATTTTTCATTTCTATTTAAGTTGAAAACAAAACTGCCAAGGCCTAAAATATAAAAAACCAAAGCTAAAGGTAAACAAACTGTTAAGTACTGGTTCAAGTTCCAGGGCCACCTAGGTAGGAACTTACTGTAAGAACACTCAGAGAACTTCAAAGGATCATGTGCAGCAAAATTATGCAAACAGTGGCCATTCAATATTTTACAAAAACTACTAAAGTGTTTATTAAAAAATCATCACTCTAATTCTGATTATGTTCTTGAAATTTAAAGCTTCACAATTAATGAGAACATTGTTAACCTTTGACAACTAAAAGTACCATAATCGGGACAACATACCTGTTGAAGCCAAGCACAAGCAAGTTGTTTACCATGAATATGTGATGGTGACATATGAAATAAAAAAATATTTTCATTACATTCTTAAGATCTGTCCAGTAACATAAAGTTTAGCTTATTTGATCTTCCATTAACCTTGGTGTAAAACGGAACAAGAACATCCCCTTTGAAATATATAGGTGATGAACTTTCTTCTGATAATACATAAATGGAAATATCACCTCCAATATTGCATGGAATTCTTCCTTGGCAACCACTAGTCTATCAGTATCACTTGAATCACTAACATATATTATCGCTTGAGTATTGGGAAAGTAGCACCTCCAGTATGGCCTAAACAACAAAGCAAAACATCTTAGCATCGATTCAAGGGATTAGGAAGTTCTAAAGAAAGCTGAGCTTGTTTTATAAGAAATAAAAAGGAAAAGATACCGGAAAATAAGACTATCATTTAGTATATGTGTATCATGTGGTTGGTTCAAAGATGAGTAAGGTCTATTGTAAGATGCACTCACTCACCACAACTCATGTTTTATATAGAAATAAGGATTCTCGTTGTAGCATCATCTAGTAATAAAAATATGTAGCACTTTGGCTATTAACAAAAAAATGTACCAGCAATCTATCCAGATTTGAAGGATTTGGCAAAGTGTTGTCTTAATTCAAAATTTCGACTTATCCACCTATGTATATATGAACACATTCAAGATAAACAATCATTGAAATTCAATAGTTAACCAAAGCTCCTAGTGAACAACCAATGTGTGTAATAATAGTAGCAAAAAAAAAAAAACTGCTGCTAGACATTTTTACCACTTCCATTGAAAAATTAAAGTGAACTTGATGTTGTCAAGCACCACATAAAGTATTAAAAAATATACAAAAGAAAAAAGTTAGATTTTTTTTAAAAATATAATAACAATAAAAGCAATTCCTACTTGAAAACAGAATATTATTTTGACAATTTCACCTGGGTAAACTATTTATCCATGGCAGTAATTAACTAAATCTATCAATTCTTAAATACATAATAAAAAATAAAACATTCTATTGAAAAGTAGAAAAGTATGAAAAAAAATCATTGGAGAGAGATTTTAACATGGATTTAGAACGAAGAAATGTCATTACTGCACAAATCCAATAGGCAATATTAGACAGGGTACAGACACATGTCAGTATTGTGTGATTGAAAAGAGAACCATTAAATTGGACAAATTAACTAAATAGACGATAGAAATAAAAATCACAAGTAATTACTTGGAACTTTTTTGAGTAATTAGTTACTTGATACTGGCCGCCCGCCTGCCACAACAAGGAGAACCACCAATGTTACGAATAAAAAACTTCAAAATGGACTTCTTAGAAATGGTTGGAAGAGAAACTACTAAGTAATCACAAAACCGCTAAGCATAAATGAAATTGTGATAACAAAGAGCATTCCCATGGTTATTTTCTTGAATGTTATTTTATGACTTCCACAGGTTAAAGTTATAACTGTGTTTTGTAGTTGCATTAAGCTTAATGGCCTAGATGCCTAATTATACTCTAGAATCACGACCCACCCTCATAAGCAAATCGTATGTCTATAAAGTAAATCATAGCTTATAGAATCCTCGGCTCCTTGATGGAAAGAATGAAAAAGAAAAAATAAGGAAGCAAATTTAAAACATTTACATTCCAATCATTTAGCTCATGAGACACGCCGAAACAAAACAATATTCCTCCCTCATTGGTGAAGTGATTATATATATTTAAATAAAAAAATCTTAGGCTAACTAGAAGGATATTGTTGACTTGTAGTCTACATTCTCTAATTCAGTTAAGATAAACCTACAATTATCTTTTATAATATATGGCAGCATTTGAAACCACAGCCAGTGGCAACATTTAATAGCTGATAGTTGTTACAAATTCATTCCATTGTGTATTAATGTGAATAATTCATCCATGGACATCATTTGTTTTCATGCTCTGGAGCTCTAATGAGAGTGAAAACCTAAAGCCAAGAAGTCCTCAGCTCCTTCTTTTCATAATTTCAACATAAATCACCAAGGGCGACACATGACACAGTCAATAACAACCAAACTCAAAAATTACAAATTAAAATGATGAACCCCATATGAAAATAAACAAATTCATAAGTCCAAGTCAAACAGCAAGGATCCTGAAAGCCAAAAAACTTTGAAAACAATCCCAATTCTATTAAGGATGATAAACTCACCTAAATCCCAAACTTGGAACTTTATGTTGTTATATTGCACTGTTTCCACATTGAACCCAATAGCTGTAAAATGAAAAAGACATCTACTCATTAATCAAGTAAAGCAAAGTTTCCCTAATCCTATTTTCAGACTACACATTTCGCATATCACCATTTGTCATATTAAATTATGCCTATGAAATAGATGCAGCAAATTAATGAACTCAAGGAAGCAACCAAAACAAGCTCAAGAGAAGAGAATAACATAAAACAATTAGAAACAATGCAAAATATCCAAAAATTAGCGCGTTAAATGTCAGTCAACCCACGTTCATAGAATAACAGTATAGAATTGCTTAAAGTAAGGATAACAAGGTAAGTACTTGGAATAGTAGACACTACTTCTCCCATCTGAAGTCGATCTGCGAAAACCAATAGCTAAAGAGAATTAATTAAAAGTCATCACCAAGGCAAGTAGGCAACCACAACAACGTGAATCGTATGAAGCGAAAAATGAGGCATACAAAGAATGGTGGTCTTTCCGGCATTGTCGAGGCCCAACACAAGAATCCAACCTTCCTTGTTCCCGAAGAGTGAAGAAAACAACCTCGTGAAAATAATTCCCATCTCACCCTCAATCAATTTGAGAGTGAATACGATGAATTGAATCTAACTATGTTATAATATTTAAAATAAACAAATAAAGGATCTGATCTGATCCAGGCAAAGTATCAGCACCTCTTACCCTCCCTTTCCTGCACAAATTTGAAATAAAAGACGACGACTCACTGTAACTGGAACAATGAGTATAATTGTAATGCAAAAATGAAGCCGATTGGCATTGTGACGAAATACCTGCAGACGACAGCGAGCCAGGCTGGGTGCATCTCAGCTGTCAGCCCCGCGGCTGTGCGTGTTGTTATCTTTCCCTACTCATACCAGAGTTTCTTCGTCAGTCACGAAACAATATACTCTCATTATAAATAATTTTATACTCCAGCTATGTATTATTTTATCATTTTTATACTCTCATCACCCATCTTAAACAACAAGACAGAAACACAAACACCTCAACCCATACTGATCCCAGGGTAGAGTCGAACAAGTACAGGTTGAGATTCTTCCCTTTCAAACCAGCAGACCAAAAACCAAAATTTCAGAACCAAAATAATCATGTGATAAAATTACACCATTAATAAATCAAACTTCACAGGGCACTTAAACAATCTGCCTACTAGTTCTCTAACACAAGAATACGTTATCCTACCAACTAATCAAGTTCTGTTTATCACACACAAGCCATACAATTCCCAATACCACCTGAGAAAGAAGAAGAATATTACGACGCCCTATATCGATTTCTCCTCACAGAGGACGCGACGAAGATCTGTGGATCGATCCTTATACTACTCGAGATAACTTAAAAACATTACCTGGACGCCGGTGCCGATTAACCTCCTCGATCCCACCTTCGCCCAGTACGTCGCGTCTGCTGATTGAGAAATCGCGTCGAAGAATGAGTTGTGCCCTAACTTTCTGAAATTCGCTAAGTGTGAAATCTATTCGGCACCGAGGAAGGGAAGAAGAAAGCCTGCGCGTGTGGGTATGAAATCGTTCTTAGTTTTCCGAAAGCACTATAGCGTTTTTACCTTTTTTTTTAAATCCAAAATATCTTTTAAATTTAAAAAATAAATGTAAACACCATTTGTTACGAAGCACAATCGTAACTAATGTTATTTTGAACAAAGTCTACCAACTCTGTTTTTGTTACGGATTATTTTGCGTAATTAAAGAACTTGAAACGTTGACCAAGAAAATATATATTTGGTCACGGAAATTGTCGTAACAAAAATCATTATTTGTTACGATGTTTTTGTAACGAACCGTCGAGCCGTGGTGAAAGAACCTTTTTTTGGTAGTGCAACCCATCAGAAATAAATCATTCTTCCACTTGTCTATCAGGCTAAAATCATGGTACTTCATGTTCATTGGTGAACACGTAATTTAAGAAAGATAATTTTTCTAGTTACTCATATATCAAATAAGATTTTCTCCTGTGATGTTAAAGTGACAAGTAAATATTTAAAGACGTGCACTTTGAGCTGTCATGAGTTGTAAAGACAGTAGACAAACAGACTGCATTGTATTAGACCCCACCTTAGATTTGCATTTGTTCATGATGTCAATAAATTCATTTCTTCCAATTCCTGTTAGTCGCAGTGCATCTGCATCACTAAAATTAGGGATGTTTTCATAAGGTTGCTCTACAAATGTAGTGTAGAATAAGTGATAAATCTCATCATAAATGCAAAACAACAAGAATATACATGGGCATCTAATGATACATCAAACTTAAACGACAAACTTTAAACGATAGCTTTTTAAAGACAGTAATTATCAACCAATGAATGACAAACTCATAAAAGATAATTAAATATACAAGTAACGCATGTAAGTAAAGTGGCAAAGAGAAATTGCTTCACATAATACTACATTGTTTTTCAGTCCAACAAGATGACCACATGTATCATATAGGTTGGCTGCTATCTCACATAAACAAAATGGATGTGAAACATCTAATGTAACTATTCATTCTGACCAAATCAGGTTGATAGTGCACCTTAGTAAACTGTAGTGATTGTGACTTGAGTAATAGAGATAGGTAGGTAAAAAATTCTAAATTCATTAACATGCATCATTGTTACATAAGGAGAAACTTGAACATGGTGGGATCTTGTCTTTGTGAACTGCTCTTGAGCTACAATATTGTTGTATGTGTTTGAAATCAATCTATTAGAAATATAAAAGCAACAGTTAGTTGTCACTAAATCTGACAAAACCCTGACACAGGGAACATATGGCTCAACGGTGAAGTTTAGAAATTTGGAGTATTAGAATATCATCCGATTGTTTGAGTTGGATGGTTTCAATTGGGTAAGAAAAAGATTATCCAAAAACCTGTAACATTAATGTACCTAAAAAGAATAAAATAAGTAAAATATAAAAATATAAACAAAATAAAAAAAAGTAGATAATTATATAAATAAATAGATAATTATATTAAAATAAAAAGAAAATTGCACCCCGCTGGAATCAGCGGGTGCTACAGTATTCCTTTGGGTCCAGCGGAATACTGTAGCACCCGCTGATTCCAGCGGGTGAATTCTGCAAAATTGCAAGGTGGATTGGAGCAGTTTTTTTCGCCCCACCCCGCAAAAATAGAGGAAAATCTCTTCGGTTGGAGATGGTCTAATATGAAACTAGCTTGAAATATTTGAGTTTGGGTTAAAATTGTTGAGTCAATTAATAATTGGATCAAAAATTTATTTAACCTATTTAATTAAGTGAGTCACGTTTGGATTAAAATATTTAACCCAAAAATAATCAGTTTAACCCGTTAATGAATATTTCTTTAAATTTAAATATATTTTTTAAATCTTAACACTCTCAATTATTAATGGATCATTTTATAGAAAAATAATAACAATTAAGCCCAAATACCCCAAAATTAGGGTCTAATTTCAAACATCTCTTCTCCACAATTCAAGTCCTTTCCTCCGCCACTATCGTTTTATCCTATCATCCCTAAAAATGGTAATAGTAAGTCTTTGAATCTATTTATTTATTTTTGTTTTTCTTTCAATAGATTGAAAAACAAAATTTATCGCATGTTTGTGTGCTAAGTCTGTGCACTATTGTTTTGCAGTCATAAATTAAATAATAAAATTTATACTTTGAAGATAATTTTAAATGTATTTCGAATGAGTTGATTTTTATTTTATTATTATTATTTTTCCAGATTTATTTATTATACTTTTTTTTGCAACAAATTTATTTTTATTCAAATTGTATATAAACAACAATAACGTATCAAGAGAGTGCTGATTTTTTTCACTTAGATTCTTCTGAAGAGGAAGGAGATAACAGTAACAAACGTCAGGAACAATCACAGGTATCAAACAGTAGACCTACTTCTGAAGTTTGGCCCATTTCGATTTTCTTGGTGAACCTGATGAAAATGGAAAGTTGGTATGTAAATGGAAGAAATGTGGCAAACTTTTTAATGGGTCAAGTACAATGGACACAGAAAACTTTAGTCGTCATCTTAAAGTTTGTCTGAAGAGTACCTATAAAGATGTTGGATAAATGATTTTATCAACATGTTCTTCAAGTTTAGAAAACATGTTGTCAAAATTCAGTATTGATGTTTTTCGTGAACTATTAGCCATTGCCATTGTTAAGCACGGTCTTCCATTTCAATTTGTTGAATATGAATGAATTAGACAAATTTTTTATTATTTGAATTCTGAATCAAAGTCAGTTTCAAGGAATACAATTAAATCTGATGTGCTTAAGATATTCATAATGGAGAAACAGAGACTAAAGAAGGAATTGCATTTGATTAATGGTAGGGTATCATTCACATTTGATTGTTGGACTTCTATAACTGCAGATGGCTATATCTCTCCAATCGCTCACTTTGTCGATAAAGATTGGTGTTTGCAGAAAAAGAATTTGAACTTCTGTTTTATGCCTCCACCTCATACAAGAGTTCATTTAAGTGATCAAGTGTGTGCTATGTTGAAGGATTGGGGTATTTAAATGAATTTTTTTTTCTATTACTTGGATAATGCATCGTCAAATGATGTTTTCGTTGATGTTCTTAGAGGTGAACTTGACTTGGTTTGTGATGGTGAATTTCTTCATGTGCGATGTTGTGCCCATATATTGAATTTGATAGTTCAAGATGGTTTGAAAGAGATTGATGGTGCTGTTTTGAAGGTTAGGGAAAGTGTGAAGTATTGTAAAGGTTCTCAAAGTTGAAAATAACGATTTTTAAGTTGTGTTGAACATGTTGGACTTGAATCTTCTAGGGGATTAAAACAAGATGTTCCAACTAGGTGGAATTCGACATATTTGATGTTAGAAAATGTCTTGTACTACAAAAAACTCTAATCCATTTTCAGAAGGTTGATGCTAATTATGTGCATTGCCCAACAACGGAAGAGTGGGTAAAAGTAGAGAAAATATTCAAATATTTAAAAAATTTCTATGAAGTCGCCCTCTCTTTTTTTGGAAACAAATATTCTATTGCCAATTTGTATTTTCCTAATATCTTGAGGATTCGATTACTCTTTAAAGATGAAATGAACAGCTTGGATACTTTCATGAAGACAATGTCAAGTAGAATATTAAAGAAATTTGACAAATATTGGTCTCAATTTAGCACAATTATGGCTATTTCTGTGATTTTGTATCCTCGTTTCAAGTTGCAATTTGTTTAATGGAGTTTGAGAAAAATTTATAGGATTGGTGAAGACTATGGCTTTGAGTTTTTTAATCTTAAAGAAAATGAAACGGTTGTATGATTCTTATGCATTACAATTGTCATATGCATCACAAGAACGGCTAAAAAATGAGGGCAATCAAAACAGAAGTGCTTCTAACACATCATGTGATGAGTTTATGACGGTAAAATTATATATAATTTTTTTTTATTGTATTATATTTCTATTATTTTTTATATGAAAGAAATATTTTTTAATTATTTTTTAATTTTAATATTATATTTTCAGGATTTTGACAGCTTCTCAAATTCTCATATTGGTGGAAATGGAAAATCTGATTTGGAACTTTATTATGAAGAGCCACTAGTACCTCGCACAAATGACGTTGATATTTTGAAATATTGGAATTCTAATGCAATCCTATCCTTTCTCAAATGGCTAAGAATGTATTAGCAATTCCAATATCAACTATGGCTTCGGAATCGGCATTTAGCATTGGTGGGAGGATCCTTGATTGTTTTAGAAGTTTGTTGAAACCGTCTACTGTTAAGGCAATTATTTGCTTGAGAGACTGGACATTTGGAGAAGGTAATAAATTTATATATTACCAATTAATTAAATATTTTTTGTTCTATCAATATAAGTCTAATTATTTGTGTTTGTATCTATATGTGTTTAATAGGAAAAATGAATCATCAATTGGATGATTTATGTGAAAAAATTAATGAGTTCCAATGCTAAAAATATCGAAGATGCTCATGAAGGTACGATGTAATGGTGATTTGAGGTGGATAGTGGTGGATCTGAATTGTGTTTGTTAATTGGGCCCCTACAAAAAAAATGTCTTTTTCTAGCGAAATTGAATCCGTGACAATAGCTATGTTACAAAAAGTGGTTTTTGTTACGCTTTTTGTCGGAACAAAAAAAATTTGTATTGGTCAACCTTTTTTCTTATTTGTTTCGATAGTTATTCCGTAACAACTACAAATATATCGAGTTGCTATCCTATTTATATTTGTTACATATATCAGACCGTAACAAAAAGTCAATATTATAATTATAAATAAATTTTTTTAAAAAATTATATAAAATAATTAAAGAAATAAAAAATAATTAAAAAAATCAAACTTGAAAAGCGTCTTAACATTTTTCCAATGTTAACACTTTCCCAATAAATATAATATATATACAAATAGCCCCAACACTTACAAAAATTTGATCGCTCACTGTACTTTCTAATTTTTCCCAAATCGATTTACAATCCACGAGGATGACCTCGTTGAAACTTTACTCTGTCCTCTGCTCTACCGTCGCCTGTTTGAAA